AGGTCCTGAGTTCAATTCCTAGCAACCACATGGTGGCTCACGACCATCTTAAATGAGATCTGATGCTCTCTTCTGGCCTGCGGACATACATGCAGGCTGTATACTATACATAATAAATAAATTTAAAAGAATAAAAATAATCAAGTTTCAGGAGCAATTGAAAGAGGCTGAGGAGGATGCAGTTGGTCTTAGGACTATTTCTGTGAGTGGGGAGAAGGTGGTGTTGTAGTCTTCTCAAAGAATGAAGCCACCTGGAGTCTTAGCAAGGGATGGAGATGTGTGGCATACCCATGAGGCCAGAGCTCGAGTTTGCACTCTTGATAGTGCTCACCATTCTGCCAGCAGTGGTAGGTGTGTTTAAAGTAGGCAGCCTTGGATGCACACTGACTCTAGCCTGATAGTGCAGGCTTTCATTTTATCAGGCTTTCATTTTATCCTTTAGTTGACTGGACAAAATATTCCTGTTACTGTCACCACTTTATACATGGGGGAGAGAAGAGTGACACCTGAGCAGAACTGACATCAGAGTCCAAGGACATAACCCCCACACCACTGCTAGCTTTGTCTTAAATGCAGTGACATTCGGGTCCTTCACTATCTGCAGTAATTTGTGAAGTTTGTCATCATCCAGAGTTGTAAGTTTGTTGCTTGTAGCAGCATTTATGCTCTAAAACTGAACCATTAACACAGACTAGATGACCCCTGTGCAAGGGTGACATGCTCATTAATGCAGCATTCCTGATTTGTTTGGGGACTGTTTTGTGGCTCCTTTATTCCTTTGAGACAGGTCTCACTATATAGTCTTGGCTGACCTGTAATTCCCTATGAAGACCACCACACTGGCCTTAACCTCACAGAGATCTTCCCAAGTGTTGCCCTTAAAGGCTCGTGCCACTATGGTTGTCTGTCTGTCTGTCTGTATGTCTGTCTGTCTGTCTGTCCTTCCTTCCTTTCATGAACAGGGTGAGGGGCTTTAGAGCTTCCTGGAGAGTGAAACTAGTTCTTCACCCTTGTCCCATCCAGAGTTGTAAGTTTGTTGCTTGTAGCAGCATTTATGCTCTAAAACTGAACCATTAACACAGACTAGATGACCCCTGTGCAAGGGTGACATGCTCATTAGTGTAGCATTCCTGATTTGTTTGGGGACTGTTTTGTGGCTCCTTTATTCCTTTGAGACAGTTCTCACTATGTAGTCTTGGCTGACCTGTAATTCCCTATGAAGACCACCACACTGGCCTTAACCTCACAGAGATCTTCCCAAGTGTTGGCCTTAAAGGCTTGTGCCACTATGGCTGTCTGTCTGTCTGTCCTTCCTTCCTTTCATGAACAGGGTGAGGGGACTTTAGAGCTCCCTGGAGAGTGACCCTAGTTCTTCACCCTTGTCCCCTCTGTCTCCATAGGCACACTCTGGCTGACATCATCATGGAGAAACTGACTGAGAAGCAGACAGAGGTGGAGACGGTCATGTCAGACGTGTTGGGCTTCCCTATGCCTCAGCTGGACCCCCGCGTCCTGGAGGTCTACAGAGGAGTCCGGGAGGTAAGGACTGTGAGGGCATGTGTGGTGGGGAATCCTAACAGGAAGCCTCTCACACATGGCACCCGACGAGTAAGCCATGGTGGCCAGGACAGGAAAGGACTGAGGCAGAACTAGTGGGCTCAGGGTCTTCTCACTAAATTCTGGTCACCTGAGAAATGAGCCTTTTGGGGTTGCTCTGAAGATAAGTGAGGCCACGAATGAAAACGCAGGGACAGGTCCAGGACCTCAACCATGGATGCTGATGGCTCTGCCTCCCTCATCTCCAGGTGTTATCCAAGTACCAAAGTGGGAAACTGCCCAAGGCTTTTAAGATCATCCCTGCACTGTCCAACTGGGAACAAATCCTTTATCTCACTGAGCCTGAGGCCTGGACTAAAATCCTTTATTTCACTGAGCCTGAGGCCTGGACTGCAGCTGCTATGTATCAAGCCACCAGGTAGTGTGGATGGGCTAGGGTGGCTGACCTGTGGTGCAGGGTGTGGTGTGTAGACTCTGCCTCCCTTAGCCATGTCATTGGCCAGCCCATGGCTCTCTCCCCTGGACTTGTTCCTACTACTCCCCTAACTGCTCCTGCGTTTTCAGGACAAAGTCCTGTGGTAGACTTCTATGGGAAGGGCCTCCCTAGCTTCCAGGATACAGTCTCTGGTGTGAGAGAGTAGCTTGAGAATTCTGATTCTCCATTGACCTCAGGTCCCTCCTGGTGGAGAAAGAAGAGTAGCCAGCAAAAAAACTGGACTGTGAAAGAAGCGCGAGGTGCCTCGGTTAAATAATGCACAGAAGGCCATCGGGCTGAGCAACAGCACTGTATGAAAAACACTAGGGGACAGGCAATGGTGGTGCACACTTTTAATCCCAGTACTCAGGAGGCAGAGGCAGGTGGATCTCTGTGAGTTCTAGGCCAGCCTGTTCTGCAAAGTGAGTTCCAGTACAGTCAGGACTACACACAGAGAAACCCGGTCTCAAAAAACCAAAAAAAGAAAGATGCTAGGTCTGGAGAGGTGGCTCAGTGGTTAAGAGCTCTTGTTCTTCTCGAAGACCTGGGTTCAATTCCCAGCACCCATGTGCAGGCTTTCAACCACCTCTAGCTCCAGGAAATCCGATGGGTACCAGGCACATAAATGGTACACAGACACACATGCAGGCAAAGTGGCTCCTCTTTAAGCTGACCTGGGTGTGGTGTGCACACTGTTATTCTTTTGCTTAAATTAGAAATGAAGAAGAGGCGCAAGTTAGACATGAGACTAAGACGTTTAACCAGACGTTTAAGCCTGGTAGAGTAGAGACTAAGAAAGAAGAGGAACAGGGTTAATGGCTGACCGCCATGGTCGGTTGCCATAGAGAGGCAGAGAGAGCGTAAGAGAACAGAAGAGAGCGTAAGTGGGCAAGGGTCTGTCTGTCTGTCTTTTAAAGGGGCGCTCTACACCTACGTGCAGATTTAGTTCCCATGGAACCCTGGGCTGACCAGGGTACTGCCTGAGTGGATTCCGCCAGGTGACAGAGGCAGGCCAGCATAATGCCTGAACCTTTCACATACCACTTCACATACATCTCTCTGAAGTGATATCTTACTCTAAAACCTCTCTCATGCATGGTGATACTTAATAGGCCAGGGCCAGACTCTCTTGCAAACTCCCACCTTGCTAGGATTTTTGCCGCTAACCTGAAGGAATGGATGGCTCAGCGCTTCTACAACCTTGTCCTGCTTCCCCGAGTACGAGACGACATCAGTGAATTCAAACGACTCAACGTTCACCTCTACTTGGCACTCAAGAAAGCCCTGTTCAAACCTGGAGCCTGGTATAAAGGTAAAAACCCAGAAATAGGAGAGAAAGGAAGGGTCAGGACTCTGCTTGGCAACTGGCTATATCCACTGTTGGCCCTTAGATGATGGGGTTGCTGGGTACTAAAAGTCCCTGTATATGACTCTGCCTAGGAATCCTGATCCCATTGTGCGAGTCAGGCACATGTACCCTCCGAGAAGCCATCATCGTGGGCAGCATCATCACTAAGTGCTCCATCCCTGCATTGCACTCCAGGTAGTGTTGGTGAGGTCGGTGGAGAGTCACGTAGTAGAGAGGCCAGTTCTTTGGCAGGAGGGCAAGAAAGGAGAATGAGCTATGATTACCTAGAGTCTGTGGCTATTTAAGCCAGCGGGAATATGATTTGCTACAGTAGAATAGAAGCCTTCAGGGGCAGGATCCAAAGTCCTGGCACATAGTAGATAGTTGTTGAATTACGGCATGAATGAATGCATACCTAGGAAAAAGGTGTGATAAATGGTGGAGTGGTGAGACATTTCGACACACTCTCTATAGTTGAATGCAGGGATTGTTTGCTATCCTGGTCAGAGGCAGAAGTGTGAGATGGATATAGACAGGCAGTAACGAGAATGAATCCCAGGAGTGTGATAATGAGGAGATGAGGTGACACCTTGGGAATGCTCGGTTAGGGTCAGTCTGGGGAGACACTTTGTCCAGCGTCTCTCCACTGGTCCTTAACTCCACCTTCCCTCCTAGTGCGGCCATGCTGAAGATTGCCCAGATGGAATACAGTGGCGCTAACAGCATTTTCCTGCGCCTGCTGTTAGACAAGAAGTATGTGTTGCCATACCGGGTGCTAAATGCCCTGGTCTCCCATTTTCTGGGCTTCCACTGACATTGGCACAACGCTACAAGGCCGACTTGGCCACGGACCAGAAGGAGGCCCTCCTGGAACTGCTTCAACTGCAGCCCCACCCACAGTTGTCTCCGGAAATCAGACGTGAGCTCCAGAGTGCAGTCCCCAGAGACGTGGAAGATGTTCCTGTCACCATGGAATGACCAATGTCTTGGTCCAGGGAGGATAGGAGGACACCAAGAGCCCAGTTGGTGACCAACGATCTAGTTAAAGACCTAGGTCAAGGCACTGAAGTCTTACGATGGCATCTGTGGCTCCAGTCCTGGGCAGGAGGATTATTCTGGTTGGCTTTCTCTGCCATTCTAGGCTTTGGTCCCTGTTCACTTCTGAAAGCTAACTGGAGTTACCTGATGTCAGCACTCCCACAACCCAGCTGGTTCATGGTATGAGGGCTGCTCTCTCCAGTTACTGTGTCAGTTCACTGGGGTGTGGATACAATACAGTCAGTTATTTATTGAAGCTCTGTGTTTTGGTCCAGTCCCTGGAGATTCCTGCCTCCCCTGTAGCGAGAGGTGAGAGTCATTCATGGTTCTTTCTGTTCCCTGTTCAGAGGAGTGGGTTCTTAGTGTCCATAGAACCCTCACCTACTCTGTTCCTCACAACTGTCTATCTAGACTCCCCTTCCTCTCCACAAAGAGGAACACACACACACACTCCCTACCAATGACATCTTCATGGGCTGTTTTGGGGGAACACCAGCTTCTTCTGTTGTTCTGCTGGAAAGGTAATAGTCTCCCTATTGCTCTCAGTGGAGAGACTGCTGCAGGAGGAGGCCCTCTCTCTGGGAGGAAACCAGCAAACTCAGAAGTCCAGTAGGTTTCTTCCTTGCTTTCTGAACAAGAGGTTTAGACTGGTTAACAAACCAGGGTCAAGTGCCTATTAGTATAGTTGATCAACAAAGAACCATCTTTTTCTAATGGCTTAAAATGTGTATGAAATTTTGGTTGCATCCAGGCGTGGATCTCTAAGTTTGAGACCAACCAGGACTAACTATACAGACTATACAATACTAACTAACCCTGTTTTGGGGTAGGGGGGCACATCCATGTCCCAGCCATTTGCATCACAGATGACAACTCCCAAGTCATTCTGCTATAACACTTTTCCTTTTGAAAATGTATGCCTGTTGCAATCCAGTTAATGTATCTGCAAGCAGTTTCAATCTGTTGAGGCATTTGCATTTGCTTGTATTTTTAATTCATCTTGGAAACAGGAGGTAAATGACAGAGAAAAGTACACCTAGCTCAGCCAAGCCAAATGACTCACCGTTTTGCCACGTCTCTACCTGTTTTACCTCTCTGCAGTACTGCAGATGGGAACCAGAGAAATTATTTCCAGACACATCCCTACCCCATCCATCGCTTGTTTTTAATGTATATGAGCACTGTGCCTGAATGGCATCAGATCCTGAGACTAGAGTTACTGATGCTGCACGCCTTTAATTCCAGCCCTCGGGAGGCAGAGGCAGGCGGATCTCTGTGAGTTCGAGAACAGCCTGGTCTCCAGAGTGAGTGCCAGGATAGGCTCCAAAGCTACACAGAGAAACCCTGTCTCTGAAAAAATATGCAAAAAAAGAATTTCTCCTTAATAGTTTTGCCCCAGACAGGGTTTTCTCATAGCCCTGCCTATTCTGGAGTTTCCATAATATTCCAGACTGGCCTTGAACTCAAGAGATCTGCCTGCCTCTGTCTCCAGTGTGCTGGCATTAAAGGCGTGCACCACCACAGTCCATATTAATTCCATACTTCTTACACACTATTCCAAGACTTGAGAATATGTTGTGAAAACCCGTCAGCAGCAAGGAAATAAAATTCATTCATACATAAAATCCTCATTCACATTTATTCATTTTCACTTCTCCTTCTCTTCCCCTCCCCATTCTTTTTCTCTCCCTCCCTCTCTCCCTTTATTGTGCTAAGAATAATTCCAGAGCCTTGTGTCCTAGGCAAGAATTGTATTACTGAGTAAAACCCAGACCTCCCATTCTCTTAAAACCCTTATTTACATCAATCAGTCCCAAGTACTACCAATTTAAAAAATGAGTTTCAGATAGGTGGTACATACCTGTCATCCCAGAACTAGGGGACGGCTTGGCCTACAAAATATGTACTTGTTTAAAAAATGTCAGGACTGTTCTAGATTCTTTGCTAACAGAAGTTCTTATTATTTGAGAACAGATCTAGGTGCTGGGGAGATAGCTTAATCGGGAAGTGATTGCCTAACAAGCAAGAGGATCTGATCTGGGTCCTTTCCACCCACTAGAAGAAGGCAAATAAAAGGTTTGGAGAGATGGCTTGGCAGGCAGGATCACTGACTGCTCTTACAGAGGACCTGAGTTCAGTTCCCAGAACCCCACAGGTCATAATGATCATTAACTCCAGGTCCAGGCAATCTAATGCCTTCTGGCCTCTTGGATACCAGATACACATATGCATGCAGTCAATGAGAGAGAGTGTGAGAGAGACAGAGAGAGAGAGAACTCTGATTCTCCTGGACCAGGTGATGTCTGGGGCAAGAAACTCAAAGACTGGAAGGGACATGGTCTCTAGCAAGACTTTTGTTCTCTCATTTTGTTTACTGCCTTGTTTGCAGCACATTCCACAGGGCTACAACATAGTAGATGCTTGGCTAATACTATAAAATAAAGAGCCATCTGGCATCCAAAGCCAGGAACATGCCACACAAAGAACAGAACTCTGACTCTCTGGCAGTCTGTGCTTACTGCCCATAGCAAACCTACAGATAAGAGAGTCATTTAGATTTTCTACAAATCTTTTTAATATCCAAGACTAATTAAGACAGAGATTCTTCATCTACTACTTTTTTTTTTGCTTTTCAAGACGGTTTCCCTGTGGCTTTGGGGGCTGTCCGGGAACC